CTTCATTTTTACGTCTGATTTTTTTGTCAAATAATTTCATTTCTTTAAAAAAAAACTTTTTTTTTTCAGACTGGGTTTTTTTACGAATTGAATTTTTCTCAAATTGTGTTTTTCAAGAGTGAGCATTTTGTAATTAGGCTTTAAATCTGAGTTCTTCAACAGGGGGTCCGCGACCCCTAGGGGGTCCTCGGAGTTACTGCATAGGGGTCACGAAAGTTTAGGTTGATTAGATTTTTTTTATATTCCCAGCTGCAATTTTTTCCACTAATTGAAATGTCTTTAAATCCACATTAACATGAACTCCACACACTGTAGTAAACAGATAAATGGAGGCAGAAGATGTCTTTCAGTCATCAATGCACACATTCAGCGTCACACAGGAGCTCTTTCAAGCTGGGCACCGTTTCCTTCACAACACTGTCCCATCAACCAGGAATCAGAATCAGAAATACTTTAATAATCCCAGGGAGATATAACTTTGGTTTCATTACTCCATCTGTAATAGAGTGACTAAGGGATCAGTTTGATATAACACAATTTCATGCAATATCTATAATTAGGGGGTCCCCGCTCCATCTTACATCAATTTGGGGGTCGTTGGCCTGGAAAATGTTGAAGATCCCTGCTTTAAATGAAGAAAATTTTATCTGAGCAATGCAGTTTGAAAATAACAACATTCATAAAAGTACATCTGAATAAAAGACATTTGAAATAAGAAAATTAAAAAATTAAAAACCTGTAAAAAAAAAAACCCAGGAAAACAGCAAAGGAAACGATCACATTTTAATTATGAACTTTTACAAAGTTTTATTTCAGATTTTTTTTTTCAATTTCCATTAACAAAACGTGTTATTTTCTTGCACCAATAATGGAGTTAAAATAACTCCATACTCAGCTTTCAAAGTATTGGTTTACAGTACAAATTGATGCATGAACAGTTCCATATATTCTTAGCTCTTCCAGAACTGCAAATCGTTAATTAGATTCTTTATTTTTGTTGTTATCAAATAATGAAACTCCACCTGAATGAGATTTAAAGATCTATTTAGGACCGTTTCTATAATGGTTTGTATTAACAACACCCACCACTGCTGATGGTGCTTGCTGTATTTGGGACCTTGGTTAAACTTGCTCAGCAGGCATAAAGCTGCAGGAAGGAAACTGCGGGGAGCGGAGGAAGCAAAGGCTAAATCTGTGACCCTGACATCCCGAAGAAAAAGGGGGAGATCTGCCTTCTCCGTATTTAAAGCAAGTCTATGTAAACACCGTTTCTTTCTCTTATGTTTACATTATCTCTAATTATGAGAATCATGACCCGTTAGGATTTAATAACATGAATTATCTGAAGAATACTGACAGAAAAGAATGGAGAGCATATATGACAGAGCAGAAACGTCCTGGATCAACTCAACAGCTGCTCAGGAAGAGCTTTTATTCGCAAGCTCCTGGGACAAACTATTTGCAAAAGTGCTGAAACTTTTACCTGTTCCTCTGAATCAACTAAAAATAACTCCAGATGTTACATAACACGTTATGGGGTGAAGAACACCTGGATTTCATTTTAGGTATTTGTTTTATGATTAATATCTTTTTTTGTTTTGTTTCCCCAGAAAAGAGGAAGAGGATGGATCTGGGCGGCATCGTGTCTCTGCTGGCACTCCTCTCCCTGAATAAGGTGATCAAGCTTTATTGTTTCCACCCCTGTTTCAAGTCAGTTTCAACTCATGCTAATCTTGCATCATAGGGTTATCTGCTGTCAAAATGAAATTAGTATAGCAAGTGAATTTAGCACTTTTTCAGGAATATTGCATAACAAACATAGACTAAGCTGCAGGGATTTGCTTTATTAGCTTGACATCAGGGCCTGGGGCTGTCTTGTGCATGTCTTAGTGCTCATCCTTGTCGGTATGGGGGTGGTGATGTTTACTGGGCCAGTAATTTAGCTGGTACATTTTTATAGGGGTGCCCAGGCAGGGACCCACATGCACTTAAAGGAATAGTACACCCAAAACATGATTAGCCTTCATTTTCTACTCACCCCCATGCTGAACAACAC